GCTCTAGTCTGCTGAGCTATCTGGCCGCCCTGTCCTCTAACCATTTCTCCTAGGCTGGATGTCAGTATCCCACAAGGGGTCCCCTGCCCCACGGCAGGTCACCATGCCCCAAGCACAGTAAGTGTGATAAACACCAGAACGAAGGCCCCGTCTCAGCTACCCTTCCATGCACAGACTGCAGAGGGAAGCAATTAACTCCGTCGGGGTCTCCAGGCACCCCAGTTCATGTGCAGCAGCCCTCACCGAGGACCGTGTCATGTGACTGTTTGAAGACAGGGCCTTTGGAGACAATGAGGATAAACTGAAGCCCTCAGCATGGGCCCAGGCAGGTGGCGGGCAGAAATAAGGAGGCAGACAGCTAGTGCTCCAGGCCACCAGAAAGAAGGCAGTGGAGATCGGCCTGCAACTGCCCAGAACTTCCGGACAGGACCCCTGCCCATAGCCGCACGCAGCACCGCTGCACCACAGTGGGTGCCTCCATGCCTGGGCCACAGCCACCATGTGCAGTCACCATGCTGGCTGCGAGACCACCACCCTCCAGTGGCCTTAGCTACCACTCCGAGTGTCAGGCTGCTGCTCTGCCCCAGGCCTGTGGCCCGCTGCAGACGTTCAGGTCCTTCCAGCTGCAGGGCCAGGGCGGGCGGAGGGGGAAGGGTGGGGTGCTGAGCCTTCACTGAGCATCTCTGTGTGTTCAGTGAGGTTTTGGCCTGCTTGTGGCATCCTTTGTGTCACCAAGAGCCCCAGGTCAGTCACCATCAGACGCTAGAATTGGGCGCTGTTTGCTTCCCCCCTGCCTGTGACCTCCTCCCCCAGCCTATTCTTTCCTGAGGGCCAGCTGTATGGGGTCAGGACCCTTCCTGGGGCCCTCAGAATCCCCTCATCCTCACATCCTTCTCCTCCTCCCCTGGCCAGCGAGGCCACAGGGGCCCCAGCCTCTCAGTCGTGCTGGGTCCCCTCTGCCCCCTGCAGGTCCCCCAGCCAGCCCATTGCTAGTGGGATTTGCCTTCCTGAGCTGTCGCCCTGTTCTTAGCTGACTTCAAAGCGAAAGGAGGCTCTGGATTTGCACTGAGCAGTCCTGTCACTCAGAGACAAAAATGATGAACTAGAGCCCAGCTGCTTGGCCCCAGTGCCAGCCCTGGTGTCTGCTCGCTGTGTAGCTCTGGACTGGGTTTCTGAGCCTGCTGTGCCCATCTTATACCTGTGGGGGAGGAGTGGGTGACCCTGCCCACATGTGACAAAGCCCTTTGGCTGGGGCCTGCTGTAGCTTCAGTGGGAAGCATGGCCTTGCACTGCATTTCTGGGATATTGTTTATTTGTTTGATTTTGTTGTTTGAGACTCACTGTGCAGTTCAGTCGAGTTTTGTTCGTCTTTTTTTTTTTTTTCTTTCGGAACCAGGGATTGAACTCAGACCCTTGAGCTTGCCAGGCAAGCGCTTATTCTACTGAGCTATCTCCCAGGCTCCCGTGGAACTGGTCTTGAACTTGTGGCAATGCTCCTGTCTCAACCTCCCAAATACACCACTACACACAGCCCTAGCTGCATTCTTACAAATCTACACCTCCATCTTTGCACCTGATCCTCCCTGCACCCTTGGCATGGTTGCCACCCTGGAGGGCACCTCTGCTGTGCAAACTCTACGGCACCTACACAGCCCGGTAGCTCCTTGGCAGTGGCTGATGAGCCCAAGCTGCCCTGCAGGACGCAGGCCCATGCTGCTCACCCTCCCGTCCCGGTGTGCTCTTACTGGAGGGCTCAGGGCAAGTGCTTTGCAGGCACTGGTCAGAGCCTGGGCCGGAAGCTGAGGGCTTCAGTGGAAGACTGAAAGTGTCCAAGGCCACATTGTGGACTTCACCACGTGGTGGGTTGGGGTGTTGCTTTCCTCGGAGACACTGTACCCTTATCCCCAAGCACACTATTCCAGGGGCCAAGGTACAAAGGAGTGATGCTGTCCCCTCTGTGCCTTAAGGCAGGAAGGGACCAAGATGTGGCAGTTAGCATACCTGAGCCTGGCTTGGCCTTCAAAGGTGCTCTGCTGTCCCAGTGAGCCTGGGGACAGCTGGCAGGTGCTTGCACTATGACAGAGGCAGGGACATCTCACCATGACATACCCAAGCAGAAGGGTCAAGGGGTTCCCAAAAGATAAACAGGCAGATATGAAGAGCCCTGTGACCTGGCGGCCCCATCTGTAAGTCACCTGTGGAAGGGGGTGCTGCTACCGTGGGCCCCATGAAGGATGAGAAGACCCCTAAGGTTGAGACAGCATTTTGCTAAATTGCTTATGCTGACCTCAAACTTAAAGTCCTCTTGCCTCAGCCTTCTGAGTAGTGGGAATTACAGGTGCATGCACCACCGTACCCATCTAGGCTGAATGTTTTCTAAAGGTGTGGTCATTCTGAGCTTGTTTCCTGGCGAGCTTATTTGGCATTCTCTTGGATTCAGATACAGGAAGTACCACCACTCCTCTGCTGCAGCTGAAGAAACCCAGCTGTGCAACAAACTCAATGATAGGCTGGTGACAGGACAGCATCTGGTCAGAGTGTCTCTGTCTTTCTGTCTGTCTCGGTCTCTCTGTGACAGGGTCTCACTACGCATTTCAGGCTGGACGTGTGCTGCCGGCGGCCTCCTGGCTCAGCCTCCTGACTGCTAGGGTTACAGGTGTGCACCACTGCACCCAGGAGCGTGGCCTCTTGCTGAGCTGCCCAGGCTTGGCGGGCGAGCTATTCTCCCAGTACCTCCTGCGTCCACAGGTGGACAGGCCTGGAAGCTTGCATTCCACCAAGTGCTGCCAGGGAGCTAAACTTAGCTCCACAGCAGAGCCAGGAGGGGTTCTGAGCAGAGATAGGAACGAGGGGCTATTTTCAGGTCTCTGGAGAACCCTAGAATATTCCAGGCCACAATGATATTTATAGAACCCTGGGCTCCAAGAAGGGACAGCAACCGCTTAGCCCCTCCTTGGTGTCCAGGAGCAACTTCTTTCAGTGGGGACCTGTGCCCAGACGTGGGCTCTGGACCGAACTCTCCCTCATCCAGGTGCACTGGGCAGGTGCCTGGCCAGCCACCCCGCTGCCTGCTTCCTAGGCCTCTACTTCCTTCTGATCTAACTGTTGGCTGGAAACCCGAGTTCTAGCTTGCTGCTGGTATCCTGAGGCAGCGAGGCCTCTCTGCCCTGCCTTGGCTCAGGGGCAAGTCTGACTGTGTGCCTGGAAGTTTGCTACAAAGACTTGGGATTACAGCGCCACGGGCACACCTGAGATTCCAGCCTGGCCTGGGCAGCTCAGTGAAAACTGCCTCAAAATAAAAAGTTTGCCTAAGTGCCTGCCTGGCAAGTGGAAAGTCCTCAACTCAATCCTGGTACAAGCAAGCAAGCAAGCAAGCAAGCAAGCAAGCAAGCAAGCAAGCAAGCAAGCAAGAAAGAAAGAAAGAAAGAAAGAAAGAACGAAAGAAAGAAAGAAAGAAAGAAAGAGAGAGATGGCAGAGGAGTGGGCTAGACCCCCCAGTATCACAAGAAAAATGGGAGCCTTCTCCATGGTGGGGTGGCACTCTGGTGAGGGAAGCTGGGGGCCAAAGGAGGCGAGCAGGGACCCCAGACAGCAGCGCCCAGAAGAGAGCCGTGAGTGGGTTTCCCAGTACATGGTTCTGGGGAGGCCTAGGCCTCAGGTACCCCGATGAGTGAGCTTGGTGTCCTCGGCAGTGGCAGCCACACGACTACAGACATAGGTGTCGGGTGAGGTGGCACTTGGCTACCTCAGCCAGCCCTGCAGGGTGGAAGGTCTCCATTCATTCCAAGTCAGTCCCGGCAGGCGTCCATGCCCACTCCACGCTGTGCCAGTGCACCCCATGTGGCCCTGCTTCCACCAGGCCAGATATAGCTATAAGCGCATTTTCCATGGGCTGGTCCTACAGGAAAACATTCGGCTTTATTTTAGGCCTGTGAAATTCCCTTCCCTCGTACCAACAGGTGCAGTACCCTCATTTAGACGCAGGGCCCCAGAAATAGATTCACCCACACACAGCTTCCTTTAGGCTCTGGGTGCTGTGCCAGAGGAACCTGCCCCAGCACTGGGTGTGGCACTGGGTCTCACTGGCCACTCGTGTCCCTCCCTGAGTGACCACTTACTCTGAATCCAGGCCCTTTGGGATGTGACCATGGTCTCTGACTGGCCCAGATGCATGGCCCCTTGCCTTTGCCCTGGCAGGAGGTGGAGAGGAGGTCACAAGTGGACCTGACCTGACTGGGAGAGGGCTCCAGCAAGTCCTAGTGGGGACCTGATTGCTCCTGCCACCTCTGCAGATGAAGGCAGGGAACAGCCCCCTACTCCTAGCTGAAGCCCTAACACCAACACCTTGGAGTGTTCTTGGGGACACTAGTTATGGTGAGGTTGTCCTCATCAGGGTGGGTCCCCAGTCCAAAGTTTGGTGGCCTCAACGAAGAGAGACATAGAGACAAGGAGGCTAGGGATGGCCAGTGCCCCTCCACTCAGGAGGCCAACAGGGGACATCTGCCTCAGAAATCCTGTCTCCTCTCATGCACAGCTCCCTCAAGCCTGGAAGTAAGCCCCACTTTCTTGGCATACCGTCAGATTGGGCTGCAGCTCTGAGGTCACCTTGCCCAGGGTGCCATATGGCATCAAGGCCTGGTTCCCTTCAGATGTCCCCCAGATCCTCAAGGCTCAGTGCCTTTCTGGGCCTGGACAGTATCTGTGGGGCTGAAACTATAGGTTGCCACACTGGTCGGGGCTCCTGGCTGGGACAGCTGAGGGTTGAGCCATGGGAAGGAGCTGTGCATGTGTGTGGTTGTGACAGGCCTTCCAGAATGTTCTGGAATGTTCACTCACACAGGAAGCTGACAGCACAGGGTGAAAGGGGAGCTGCCAGACATAAGTCGCATTCCCTGGCAGGGCCAGGGAGGTGGAGCTGCTGATAGCAGGTAAGCGTCCCCTGAGCCCCCACCCACAGTCCTCCTGGTGAAGGTGTCAAGGCCCCTTGCTCAGGGCCAGTTGTCTGCTCCAGGTCAGGTTGAGCTGGTCAGAGCTGGAGATGCCCTTCTGCCTCCACAGTCCTACCCAGCCCTCCTGCACCCAGCCTCTGTCCTCCATGGGGCTTGAGCCCTCCCAGGCACCGTGTTCCTTACCCCTGCTGTTGTCCTTGCTGAATCTTTCTCAGGAAGGTGCCTGGTTGGCAACTACTATGACACTGGATGGGAACCAGGGCTTGCTGCAGGGGACTCCAGGACCCAGAGGACAAGGTGGGACTTGGCTCTTTATTCCCGTAGGATCAGGTGCCCACTCCCTCCTGCCACCCACCCCTCCTGTTCTCCCTGCTGGCACCATAATGGGGTAAGCGGTGTGGCAGGTGGGTACATTCATGGCAAGAGATGGCTGTGCCCTCCCAGGTCATAGTGCCACCTGCTTGCCCCAGGTTTTGAGGGAAGATGGGAGGCCTGTCACAGCAGGAACCATCCAGTGCCACTGAGTATCCCCCAAAGTGTCCCACTCTTAGAAGAAGACAAGGGCCAGAAACTGGGCCGGGTCAAAAGCAGAACAGTGATGAATATACCCCTAAGGTGGAGTCCACAGGGGTGTGGCTGGCCTCTGTCCCACAGGACCTCAAGTGACAGGCGACCTGAGGCCAGTTGACCCTCAGCTCTTGGGGCAGGGGGCACCCTCAGGAGCCAGGCAGCAGCCGGCCTCCTCATGCCGCGCCAGGAGGGACATTCGGGAGAAGGTCTTGCCGCAGACCTTGCACGGGTACTTCTTGGTGCCCGAGTGCGTCTGCTGGTGTGCTCGGAGGTTGGAACGGTCAGCAAAGGCCCTGCTGCAGTGGGCACAGGCATAGGGCTTCTCACCTGTGGGAGGAAGGTGGGGTCAGGTGAGTGGCGCAGCCAGGGCAGGGCCATAGGATTAAGGGTGACCTGTTCCTCCCCGACTACATGTAGCAACCATGGCCATGGCTGCTGTGACAGGGAGGTCACACAGGCCAGACCTGGCCTCGGAGGCCCCGCCCAGGGCGAAGGTGGCTGCTGGCTTCTAGGCAATCTTGGAGTCCAACTGGAGCCTGGCCATTCGGTCCTGTGTGAGACACTCTGGGAACCTCTAGCTGCTCCTCTGGGCTGCGGGCCAGCAGGAGAGGAGCCACAGGGCTATGATCTGGGCCAGCAGGGATTGAGCAGGGCCTGCTGTTGGGATCCTGGACCCAGGATGGCTCTGACCAACTGCAGGGTAAGGACCCTGAGAAGCCACCAACCAGTCCTGTAGCACTACAGAGCCCCAAGATGCTAGTTGGTGTCCTGCCAGCTGGGGGGGGGGTGCACTGTTTGTCCTCAAGTCCTGAGACTCTGACTCTCACTGTCTTGATGCCCAGCCCACCTTCCTCTCCTTCCTGCTGTCCCAAGCCCAAGACCCTGCAGGGTGGACACACTAGCCCTCTAAAGACCTGTGCTCCTAGTTTTGCCCAGTCTGGGATACATCTGCACCCTGCTCCTGTGGCTTCATTTGGAAATAGGGTCTGCAAATATAAACAGGATGCAGCCGCTGGGGGCCCTTAACCCACATGATTGTCATCATAGCAAAGGACACATGGGTATAGATACATGTGGGCACAGGTCTTATGAGGACAAGCGCAGGCACAGGATGTGGCCATGGCCAAGGTGCCAGGGTGAAGGCACTGTGACCCTGCCAACCCCAAGGGCCCAGGCAGGACCTTGGAGGGCACCAGTCTGTCCCCATGCTTCAGTGTGGGACCTGGGTGTGGTGGTGGGGGGGGACATGCAGATCCTGGCCTCCCAGGACCCTTGCCCTCCTGTCCCACCTGTGTGGGTCCGGATGTGGCCCTGCAGCAGCCAGGGCCTGGAGAAGGCCTTGCCACACATGCTGCACACACAGGGCAGCGTGTGGGTGCGGACGTGCATCTTGAGGGCGCCCAGGCTGCCATACTCCTTGTCACAGTGCTTGCAGGTAAAGATGCGCCCGGCCTGCAGGTGGCACTGCAGCTGCTGGTGCCTGGCCAGCCCAGCTGGTGTGTGGTAGGCCTTGGGGCAGTGCACACACTTGAAGCTACCTGGGGCTGGAGGGGCCCCCAGGGCCCCAAGCAGTTTGTCTGGAGCCCCATACATGTGGGGGTGCAGGATTGGGGGCCAGTGTGTGGGCAGCAGCAGCAGCGCAGGCAGGTTGAGGTGGTTCAGGCTGTCTCTGAGAGGGGAGCTGGGGGCCCGGCCAGCCCAAGGGCCACCAAGGCCAATCTCTGGTGTGTCTGGCCCAGGGAACCCCAGGGCTTCCTCGTGACGTGGCAGGAGGGGCAGGGAGACACAGGTGACGGCCGAGGTACAGTCCCAGGGCCTGGCCAGGTGGCCAAGCGCGGAAGGGGCCTCCTTCTTGTCATAGCAGGTGCCACTGTCTCCTGGGGGAATGAGGAGAGAACAGAAAGGTGAGGACAGCCAGGCCCTGCCTACTTTCAGACCTGCTCGCCTGCACCCACACACAGCCATGAAGGGCCTGTGAGAAGTGCCAGGGTCCAGATCTGCCTAAGGAGAAAGAGAGGCGTCGCACAGCACGGGCCACTACAGCCAGCCCTCTGGGCTCCAGAACGGGGCTGTGCGCCGGGCGGGTAACGAATGTCAGCTGTGTGGTGAAAGCTAACCCAAAATCAGCTCTCGTGCCAGACAGTGTGGTGCAGACCCACAATCCCTGCCTTAAGAGCCTGAGCCAGGAGGAACTCGGTGAACTCCTGGGAGCCTGGATCACAAAGTGAAACTCTGTCAAAACAAAAACAAACCAAAAAAAAAAAAAAAAAAAAAAAAAAAAAAAAGGGAAAACCAAAACAGCTTCCAGGACTCCA